TTTTTTCACCCTTGCACTTCCTTTTTTTTTTTTTTTTGAAAAAGGGGGTTTTGAAAATCTTTAGCCAAGTGTGACGAATTGAGATGGAATTGACAGCATAACCCTTGAAATTTTAAAAACTAGGAGTCTTAACCTAACATGGGAGCTATATGCTCAATTATTGAAATGCTGAAATCAAAAGCTATATGCTCAACTATTTCGATTTTTGACCTGGGAGAGTTTATATTTTTTGTCTGAATGAAGCTTATCCGATTAATTTCATTTTAATAGGGTTATACTTATCCGATTAATTTCATTTTTTATATAGATGATATACTCAACAAATCCTAGAATATGAACGGCTCGGATCATCAAAACATGATCGGAACAAACCTCACGGGAGTGTGATAGCCCACCCCATATCTGGATATGGACACGAGATGGAAATGACTGGATATGAACACATTGGCAAAAATTTCCAAAAATATTAGGACTTGACATGAAGGGACATGACAACAAATAAAGACATATTTTATACGTATTCATGGAAATAAAACTATTTCTTTATTTTTTGGATTGGAAATACTTTGGCCATGTTTGGTTGGATTTCATAAATTTGTTTCAGATTTAAAAAAATAAAATAAAATAAAAAACTAAAAATAGTTTGGTGAAAGAAATAAAAAATTCAAAAACTTATCATTTTTATATAATTTTATATTTTAGGAGGTCAGAAATAAATTTTAAAATATCTTTTTGATATTTATTTTTATCAAATTAGTTTTTTCTTTCAAACTGAATTTTTTTTTTTCCTGAAATACAAACCAAACATGGCATTTATATTTTATCATATAAAAATAAGAAGTAATGTTTCACAATTTACATGTTGGGAGAGAAATGTGAAAAAAAATAAAATAAATCATAATATCTATTTTAGACAGTTATCCCAAATCACAAAAGTTGAACTGAACTCACTCTAGGATAAATAGTCCTACTTGTCCCCGTATCTACGAATCAAACATGACCCTACTCTATCACTAGGCTACTTCTCATCTTTGATTCAAAATTACCTTAACTCAAAAGTTGTCATTACACAATAATTGATGTCGTAACACCATTGAGTAGTAGTACACATTGATTAAATTTTGAGGACATTTAGGTTTGGGAATAGATATCTTTGCCCTATGTTGTTTCCTATAAAGGTACTAAGTGCGATTTGAATCACATTCTATCTAATGCATTCTCTTACAGTGATAGGGCACCATGTGACTTGACCAATTCTGGTCTTACATGGATATGGTATGGACTTGCTCATGAATCATGCTCATGCTAATTATACATTGGGTTTGATTCAAATGTATTCTTCTCACACCATAATTAATTCGATAAGTTTTTGTACAAGTATTGCGTTTTTGAACTATTCTAAATGGGTATACATTGCTGGTAGCTTGTGTGAAACTCATGCATTTAGGTAGTCTATATATATGCGCACACACATTGTAATTTTATGAAATCTATGTATTTCATACATGGATGTTAGGGGTTGTTTAGTAAAGATTAGCATGTGAAGGTATGTTTTTAAACTCAGGCACATACTCTTTAGAGAAGACATCTGCACCATGATGATATATGATAGATATAGAACTAACTATGCTACAAGAGCCTTCGGGCTTGGCCCAATTGTGTGCACATGGCCCTCCATGTGTGGCCCACCATTGCTAGCTCATATTAGAGTTTCTCTATAAAAGACTTAAGGTAAGACAAACACAAGGTAGGCAATATTCAGCTACCCTAAATCTCTCCTCTCAATCTCTCTCTACTCTTATTCTATTCCATCAAATTGAGTACTGATTGAACCATCGGAGGGCTATTGGATGACATCACAGTGGTGTCACTAAAGACTCACCTCTTCTTTTGCAAGATTGGTGGATCAGCTCAGGACCATACAGATTTGATCTTCATCAATCTATATATATGCATGCTTTTTTGATTTGATGGTCTGAACCAATAAGATTAAAATGATTTAGTTTCCTTTTAGCTGTAGTTCAAACCTATTAATACACTTTTGGTCATTTAGAATTTTACCTTGATACTTATATTTAGTAACCAGTGTTTGTGTGAAAGCATGGCACTTATGGGATTGAATGCAATTGATATTTATTCTCTTTTGCTAAATATGTTTAATTGTGGAAACATACGTCACAAATACAACATTGCCTTTTGGCCCGCCTTTATTGTTACAAACTTCTTACTTGAATTTATATCTTGTTTTAGCTTTAGTACTAAATAAATTTTCATTTATGTTAATTTCATTGATGATCAGTTGTAGTCCAATGATAGAAGTTATTGCTTGCCTTTTGTGTGAGTGTTTTCCTAGTTCATGATTTGCAACCAAAGGTATTCTTTAATACTTGTTTGACTATGAGTAGTAGCAAACATACTTGTTATATGGTTTATTGGCATGGTTGAAATGAGCCTTTTGGCTCAAATCTCTAGTCTAAACTCAAATCCTACAATTTGTGTATAAACACTATGTTTCTTTCACCTGAATTAGGCGCATGAGAGTAATTCAATTTATTGTAGGAAAGGGAATAAGGCATTCATTTTTGCTTATGAGTTTATGTGGATATTGGTATTCTTTGTATGGGATTGTCTAAGAATATGGTTCACAAAAAATGCTTCAGACACCTAATTTAACATCCCTAAAAACCACCCCTAATGATGTGTCTGACAAGTATCAAATTTTGATTTGTCAAGCATTCTATCATGTGGGGTCTAATCTCAATGCCACATCATTAGGGGTGATAAATTAGGAAGATGTAGCATTGTTGTATGGTTCACTGACTATTGGAACACCAATTTGATATGAAAAATTTGTTTACAATTTTATAATTTGATGTCTTTAGTATTTTAAATTATTGTTTAATTAGGAGTCTTTTTAGTATTTGGTTTCCTATTTTGTTAAGAACTCTAAATTTCTTTTTAGTATTGGGATTTTTGCCTATAAATAAGAAGTTGTGGTAATTGTATTGGACATAGTTGATTAAAAGATTTGTGTGATTTGAAAATAAGAAGTTGTGGTAATTGTATTGGACATAGTTGATTAATAAATTTGTGTGATTTGGGTTGTGGCCCTTGTGTTTTTCCTCTATCTGTTTCTCCCTCTCCGTTTACATCAATTGGTCATGATGATTGATAGTGAAAAAGACAAAGTCAAAGGTGAAGAAATATGTAAAGATTAATTACTCGTATGATATGTATTGAATTGCGATGGATACAATACCAAATCATATGTTATATATAGAAACATCTCTCATCATTTAAGTCACCAGCAATACGACCAAAGATTAAAGTAGCCAAGCCTGATTTGAATTTTTTTCCCTTATTTTTTATATTTGCAATGAAATATCATTTATCTTTTGTTATATTAAAATTTCACTTTTATGCCTAACCTAATATCTTATAGTTTGATGCTTTGCTTTTTTATGAATGTATATTTGTCTCTTTAACCAATTTGTAATTTTACTCACAATCTGTTGGTCAAAATCAAAAGGGTTAATTACACTTCTCACTTTTATAGTTTGATATAGTTTCAAATTGAATAATTTGATCTCTACACTCTAAATCTAATTTTTGCTTGGTCATTCCATTCAAGTTTGAGGTGAAAGTTAACAATTTTGGGACACTTGTTAGTTTCCTAAAACCCATGTAGGAAAATTAATGGAGATTTGGACAGAAGGACTAAATTGAAATTGAATTAAAATCATAGGGATCGAACTGTTCAATTTGAAACTACATGGACTAAAGTAAAATTTGAGTCAAAGTGTAGGGGTTAAGAGTGTAATTAACCCAAATCAAAATTCGATGTTAGTGGTTTGCCTTATTCTTCATGTTAAAAAACTCAATGAATGATAGTGCATTTTTAATCATCTATATCAATTTATATTTCAATGCCCACTTGATTTTTTATATTGTTTTCATTAATCAGAACATAAATTATCAACTTGGGGGGTATACTAGCTAGGTTGGTTTTGTTGCCTTCATTTTTCTTAGCTTATGTTTGTCGTTGACACTTGCGCCCTAGCTAGCTAATTTATTAGTTGTTTCCATATCATGACCACTGCAAACCAAAGTTAATAATCTTTTCCACTCTAGTTAGGGACATACCATTGTAACCAAGAAATTAGATTTTATTACCTTTTTTGCCATCTTGTGTTTTGTTTTTTGGGGTTTTTTGGCATCTTGGTTTGGTTTGGGAAATAATTTTTTTCATTTTGTAATTTAAATGATGACTAAGGTTAATAATGAGAAATAGGGAAAAAGGCTATGTTGGGCAAAAGAAAGTTGGTAATGTTAGAATAGATGTTGTTTATATACCAAGTGTCTTTTATTGTTATTAGCGAGGGTACTAATGTCATTGTGTTATTTTATTACAGTATAAATATGGACTGAGGTAGGGGTGCCTCTATTTACACACCACTTTATCTCTCAAGGCAAACCATTTCTAAAGGCACACCTTTAATTATTTGATAAATATATATTTTACTCCTCACACACCCTAAATTTACATATACACCCTTACTCACACACCCATCCACAATAATATAAACACAGACTCTCATATTTACCCTCCCTCACTCACACAGCCCCACACACACCCACCTTCTTCTATCTCCCCCCTCCGTTCTCTGTTTCGACGGTGAACAGTGTTGATGCTCAACATAGAGTAAAGCAAGTGGTGAAGAGCTCAAGTAAAGCATTAGGTGAGTTCTCATTTTGCTTACATTTTAGGGTTTTATGTATTTTTTACCATTGCCATGAATGAATCAGTTCCAAACCGTTCAATACTATAATTTCGAACCCCAAAAGGCTCGTTCGGTACTTGGCTTTCGAACACAATCAATTTGTCTGGCTTGTTATTGTCGAACTTGTTCGGACCTAGATTGTTGAACTGTAATGGTTTGTTCGATTCTGTACTGTCGAACAGTTTTTTTTTTCCCCCCCTCCCCCCCCACATTTGGAAAGTTTATAATAAATTGATATACCAATATGTTATAGAAGTTGATGAACACAAAAACTAAAGTTAGAATTGAAACAAAGAAAATAAATAAATGGATAAGATGTTTGAAAAACAGACTTCATTGATAAATTTTTTAAAATCTTATCCATATGAATTAAAGCCTAACCCATTATGGCTTCCAGCCTTGAGTTGTGTTTCCCAGAAATAATTAAAATGAAGCCATTTTTGTTACCATGATTGAATATTTCGCAGACCCTTTGATAAGAGAAGGCATTAATTCCTCATCGAAAGTGGTAACTAGTTTTGGTTAAATCTCTTGTTTAGGCAGGTAGTAAATTGAGAAAAATTCTTCCTTATTTGTTGGGTTTAACATTAGGACTATGATCAAGGAAAAATATGTTTGTTTTATGTTTGAAGTTGGCCTCGTATGTACGCAACCTCATAACGTGAATTTTCTTGATTCTGTTGGAGCATGACAAATACCACGAGCAGCCTATCCTTTGAAGGTGAATAGAACATTAGGCTTCAGTGAAGTGGCCATGTAGGTGTGAGAGTTTCAAAACCAAGTTGGTGAAAGGGTTTCTGTTAGAGATATATGGTCTGATTTAAATTCATCCACCTGATGTTTCTAAGTTGTTTGAGAGATGGAAAAGCAATGAGAGGTTTGATTATCATTATGTCAAGTTGTATGAGTTGGTTGATTCCATACAAGGAGAAGCATCTGGTTGGTTCCATACATAACGGTTTGTAACTTTTTTTACCGCAATGTTTTTTAACATTTTAATGTTCATAACATTACCACAATGATTAATGATTAAGACTTTTTTGTACCCTTTCATAACGTAAACACAATAGTTCATAACTAACACTTCAAAAATTCAGAACTTTTGTTGTGGTAAGGGAGTGTGTATCAAAAGCTTTCTTGTAAACAAAAGAGGGAAAGACTAAATTCGGAAAAGAGAAAAATAAGAGACGTCTGAGTGAAAAGAAGAATAGAGTTGTCTGCGAATTGAATGTAGGACAGATAGAAAGGAAAATATTTAATTATTTGAAAGAAAAATCTGTTGAGGGGCTATGTGTATTTAAACATAGCATATGAGTAAATTATAAGACTGCATAAGAGGGCATTGCTATACTATAGAAAACATTAATATTGGAAGCATTTAAGGTTCTATTCATCATGCAATTGTCTGTCATCTCAGTTTACATACTTCTGTGTTTAGTTGAAAAAATTAAAACCATTTTTTATTTGTTTTTGTATCATTTTTGCTTGTATGTTCTTTATGTCGTTATGTTTCTGTCTTTTTTTTCTCCTTTTTTCTTTGTCTTTTTCCTTTTTCGGTCCATGTTTCTGAGCTAGCATGATTGTTATTAGAAGAATATCAGTTTGCAACAACTCTCTTTTTTGGTCCACAACTCTCTTTTTGTAAATTACTGTGTTTTTTTCTCCACTTTTACTTAAGTCGTAGCCAAAGTGGCTGGATAATGTAAAAGCAGTCAGATTTATTTATCCTCGTATATATAGTTTTTGCTTTCAGCTTTTAATACCGCATTACTTTGCATTCACTTAAGAGGACTATCTGCTGCCTTTTTGGTATACTCTCCAGTCACAAATATCTCAGCTCTTCATCTTAGCGAGATGGAGACCAGGCTCTTCTATAGGGTTCCAAACCTGCAATTCTTCAAATATCCCATAAATAAAGGTAGGGCTTCAAAGCTTGAACTAACAAATAAGAAACTTGACTGTGAGAGAGAAAGGGAGTGCGCTAGCTGCAATTAAACTAAAGTGCCAACACTCAAACTATAGATAGGGCCCTCTCTTGCTCATAAGCACTTACTAATAAGATAGAAAGGGCTTTTCAGCTTTCTTCCACCAACTCAGAAGATAGAAAGTGGCAATCATAGAGAATACACTTAAAAAGTCAGAAGATACAAAGGGTATTGTAATAAAGAAACTTTTAATGAAACAAGTTTATGCTACTATGGCTCTTATACCAAAAGCTTGTAATAGCTAAGAAGGTACAATCACAAAGAATGAATGATCAAATTTTAAACACTCAGCTTTCAGCTTATTAAGAACTGCAATACATTTGCCTACTTGGCTTTTCAATTGCAAGTGGCATTGTTACATGTGCAGTAACTAAATTCTGACAAGAAAATTGTTTTTTTTTTAACTGCGACAAGAAAATTGTTTAAATGTTTGGAATGTCCTCTGTTTTAACAAGTGCAGAGCTGCCCCAGGGTTTGCTCAAGTAGTGGTTTTTTGTGTTTATTATAAAATGAAAACAGAAAACAAAAACAACCAAATAGCTGACTTCTACTTCATTTATCCTTTAGTTTTCATTCCCCCCCACAGATTTAAAATCCAAACACAGCCTAAAAGGATAATATACTCTATTGCTTGTGATTATCCATTGCAAGTTTAAGAATGCATAGAACTGTAGTAACTGCAATTACTCTTAGAAATCAGATTTCTAGGTTGAAGCAGGTTTTCTAATTGGTAAAAAAATACTTAACTTATTTAGAGCATCTTTTACTGGAAAATAGCAGTCATGCTGCGCCAATTATAAACTAGTACATTATAATTTTATAATCCTAAACAAAAAAAAAAATATTTGTATTCTTATAAAAATTTTAATCTGCTGACCAGAGATTGTTTCACCTAAATTAGGATTCACTTCAATCAATGATTCAAGTTGCAAAATCACATATCATAAGCATAAATTTTTTACTTCATCAGCCAATAAGGGCAACATCATTAATTAATGTTCAACAGAGATGAAAACTGTAGAGTTTAGTTGCAGATTATTCTATGAAACATAGCTTATCCAATCCGTCTTTATTGAGATAGACGATATCTTATTTCCCAGCTACGAGGGCGTCAATTTTGTGTTCGAGGTGGGCTTCATGGTCTTCAAGGCGGCCTTTGACGGCATCATCTTCCCATCGAATTAGTGTAGGAACTCCTGTGAGCTTGAACCTTAAATCAACCCGCCATGGATGCTGGGGATTCCTCCATGTAGATCGATCACCAACATAAGCTTGCATGAGTGCCACATCATCAGGCAATGGTTCTAGCTTTTTGTAAATTACAGGTTCGGCTCTCACACAATCTGCAAGCAAAAAAGAGACAAGCTTAGGATTTAATAAGGATCTGCTTTTCCAACAAATGGGACAGAGTGTATTGACTTGAGAGTAGGATTTAAAACAACAAACTTTCTTTGGTCCATGTTAGAAAGGGCCCAAATGGGACAGAGTGTATTGGCTTTTCAGCTCTCTATGATAGAAAGGGCCCTTTTTTGGTCCATGTTTCTGAGCTGGCATGATTGTCATGACCCACTAGCAACTATATCTAATAATTTCTACCTCCCAAACTTTGCAACACCAAATGGAACTGTTCTATTTGCATTTTGTGCATGAAAATCTATGCTCCATATAAACAGCTTTGTGATTGGCACTTTTCAATGATTCATATCCTACAGGATAGATGTTTTAGCCTCTTGGAATCTCATGAGTGAAATTGCAGCTGTCATGAATTGACAACTGAACATTCTCCAACTAATTTCAACCTGGTTGGTCTAAATGAACAGACCCCCTCCATCAACTTTCTCTTGAAGAAGACTATATTGGTTATAGGTACCTCTAGATGGTCCCAAAGCAAATGAAACTGATTGTGATTCTTGAATTGAATAAAAGGCGAGTTGTTATGTAACTATAATACCAATTCGAAAGTATGATTACATTGATAAGAGTTGAAAGTCAACTTCTCTTGTTTTGGAATAATAGCTTCACTAAAATTCATTGGATCCCCTTACAACTAGCATATTAAAAAAAACAGCAAACTTGAGAAACGGACCTCAGTTAACATAAATAATTTCTGTTACTTCTGTTAACTTTATTGTTTTCTGTTTCATTTTCAGAAATGGATGACCCTTCGCATATTCCACCCACTGCCTCAGAGAGACGACATCGTGCATTAACTAATACCAGTCGTGGCCGAGGTCGAGGTCGTGGTCGGGGTATAGGTCGGGGTGATGATATTGTGTTGGAGGAAGCACGTCAAATCTTGGAAGAGGATGTGATCGATAATGGTTCAGGGGATGATGATGATGCTGCTGATGTAAATCAGGCTGAGGAGGTACTCACTGGTCTGTTTCCTGGGGGCCCATTAGATCCATCAATACTAAAGAGCTTCAAGGCACATATTGCAGTAGCTATATGGGAGCAAAAGGTAGTATATCTTTTTATCCATGTTTGTTTCATTTAATTATTTATTGAATAAAATTATTTATGTAAATTAGTACTTACCCTGCAGGAGAGGAATCCCTTAAGGTGTTATAATCATGCGTCGAAGATTCTTGAGTTGCGGTGGTGGTCAAGAACTGACAATAGGAGGTTTAGGGACATTGTGCAGCTGTCAGGCCTATCTTCTTTGGTCCATTGCACATATCGGTTCGTGAATAGGATTGTCATATCTGCATTTGTTGAGCGATGGCAACCAGAGACAAATACTTTCCATTTGACAGTTGGTGAGATGACGATGACATTGGATGATGTGGGTACCATCTTGGGGACCCCTATCACAGGTAGATCAGTTAGTGCTGCAACTTTAACAAATCAACAGGCACATGCACTTGTGGTAGATGCCTTGGGAGTTGATGATGCCGAAGCAACTGAGGAGCTATCACCTGCTAGGGGACAATCAGTGAAGCTGGAGTGGTTACGAACCAAATTCAGTGGTTGATGGATTTGTCTGATATTCATACATATGCTTAGGGTGCAGCTGCATTGGCATATTTATACCGACAGTTGGGATTTGCCACGAGATCAGCTGTTTAACAGATGGCTAGTTACATGACATTGTTGGAGGCATGGATTTATGAGCATTTTCGGCCATTTAGACCTCACCAAAACATGGAATATACTGTACAATTGCCTCATGTGCATCGATGGACTCCTCGTCGAGAAGCTGGCTCAACGATATCACACCTACAGGCGTTACGGGAGGAGCTTAACAGATTGGCATTTGATGAGGTACACCAATTAATATTAATTTAATTAAGTTTTCTCATTACATATCACTCATCACGATTTAATTTGTGTTTCTTTCTTAGGTTACTTGGGATTCATATCGACATTGCCGTCAACATCACCCATGTCATGAGATCACATTCTACATTGACTGTTCGAAGTGTTTGGATGTAGTTGAACCCTATCATCCTGAAAGGGTTCTTAGACAGTTTAGTAGGGTTCAGACCATCCCACCTGAGCCACTCAACCCTGTTCGTGCTGTTAGAGGTGTGATAGCAGGTCGATATAGAGTGATGTATCACTATCTTGATCAGATATGGGAGAGTTGGGATAATCATGTTTTATCTGCTCGGAGGAGAAGTACCCCAGTCAGACGTCCAGCTGATTGTGTTAATGGTTACATGCAGTGGTATACAACCATCACACACTTACATATCCAAAACCCCATACATCGGTCTGGTTTTGACCCACGTGCACAGGATAGTCGATCTGACATGCAGGATGCTGAGGTATGACAGTATTGGTCACACATTGTTTACATCTTTTTTGAAGATGGCATGTGTTAATTACAATTGTATTTGTTCTTAATGCAGCATATTGATCACGCACTACAGATTGCCCATCCTATCATCGAGGCAGGCCATGATGCTAGTGTTCGTGAGCCAGATAGGTTATATCAAGCCATTGAGAGGATGACACGTGTTCTTCAAGGTCAACAAATTGATGAGGCTGGACCTAGTTCTATTCCACTTCAAATATACAATCGTAGGAAACGAGTAGATGATAGGTAGTTGGTTATGTGGTAATCTTGTTTTGTTATTTTGTAATGGAAAAGAAGTACTCTTTTGATGTTTTTGTTGTTTTGTAATGAACAAAAATTACTCTATCAATATTTTGTAATGAACAAGTATTCATGGTTTGTATTTTTGGTAATCAACAGGAAGTATTATGCCAATGCATTTGATACACCGCTATGAACAAGTACTACCATGTGCATTAAATTAACTCAAAGCTTAATCCAACTCAACTATTTAAATGCTAATCCATAAAAATGTATCGGTAACTATTTAAATTGCATCACTACAACTCAACTCACATACATCATTACTCATCGAGGTTAATACAATCAAATGTCTCTCTAGTAGCTATCCCTGAATGAACAACTTCTTTAAAATGCTCAATTCAGCGACTATATGTAGTATCCCATCCAGCCGCACAAGAATGATGAAACTTGCACCAATTGGTAGCTATCGGTGGAACTGGATGACCCGGTAACATGAACACCTACATTGACACAACTAGAAGTATGAGAGCAATGCAGTACAAAATGATAAATGTATTACACAAATCATAATGCTATACCTGGACAAAATGATTCCCATTAACAAACCCAATAACAATCTCACGCCGTTGAAGTTGTGATATTGGCACCGATCGTAGGGGGAGGAAAGTAAGGCATTGTTGTGCAGATAAGTGGTACAATACCACATTATAACAAGATGCAATAAGATGACCCATGTCAGGCATAGTCATCCAAAGGTGATACCCTGGATTAGGCTCAAAGTATGATAGAATATGGGTCAGCTCTTCAATCCTGTCATGTGAACCATATAGATAAGTGTAATGGTCTACGTGTGTGTGCAATTCCTGTAGGAGATCACGCCTGACTTTACCCCATTCAGCCTCTGTAAGCCCCATCAAGCTAATAATGGCCCTAAACCCGCAATTGCCAGCGGCATCTACATCCTTGATAAGACATATGTAAGGCTTCAATTCAACTGGAAGGGCATCAACATATGAATAAGTCGTACTTGTACGTGTCCGATATACCTATTCAACAGGGAAGACATCAACACATGAACAACAAAACACATAATTTATCATAAACAAAAATGTAAGTAAAAAATGATTACATGTACCTGCTCTTTGGCAGGCCGTTTTTTATGTACTTTGACAGAATCTTGTGTGGGGATCTGGGTGCCCACAGGTGAGTGGCTATCATGTCCAGACTGAACTAGCTCAAATGCACATGGGTCTCGACGCGTAGATACATCTATCTTCTTATGTCCCTTACCTCGAGGGTTGGGCTTCACATCCGGCTCAATGAGAAAACTACTTTGCGGATCTGCAATCTCTCCTAACTTATGCAGAATTTCCAACTGCGTAGTGTAATCAGATGCATTGAATCGCTTAAGTATCAGATCAAACTTTGGTTCACACCTCAATTCCACTTTATCATTCTTCAACTTCTGTACTACCTCAAGAGTCCTCCAGTGTGGGTTAATGCTATCAAGTGGTATTGGACGACCCTGCCGGATGTAATCTGCAATCTCATGGGCACACGGTAACCCGTGTGTTTGTCGAACAAGACATCCACATACTGAAGCATCAATGCCAACATCATTCGCTCGCTTACTCTCCGCTAAGACATGATCTAATGCAGTAATAGAGATATTGCCTCAGAGATTTCTAAAATGGGATGGTTTGAACTGGTGTTGTACAATGGTTAAACTCTTCTCAAACGATGCCTTAATATCAACATGCTGCAACTCAAGCAAACTATGGATCTTGGTCCAAGAACACTCAAAATTTACTTGGTCAGAACCAAGTTGCCGTTTCAATTTTGCATGTGCACTTTCAGCCTTGTGTACAATGGAAACAATTAACATAATCAAGTTTAAATAATCAAAATCATAATACGTAATAGTGTAAGGTAGACAAATATATATTACCTATTGGTTGTAACATTCCCGAAGTGCATACAACTATCTATCCATACGGAAACAAACTTATCCTTATATGAAATTAACCAACTTTGTAACACATATTGCACTGCCTCAGGATATGTATCAAAATCCGCAAGTAGCCTAGCAAGATGTTCATTGTATTCAAGCTCAGTTGAGGAGAGTACTAAGAAATTCCATAAAGAGACAAACTTGTCCCATTCCTCCTTACTCTTAAACATTTTCTTGTATTTCGACAGTACATTTCTATCAATATGCCATCTGCATGATAAATGTCGAGATGTAGAAAATACCCTGTCAATAGCATGCATCAAAGCAAGCTCCCTGTCCGTGACAATCACCTCAGGAATAGCAATGTCATCCAAGAGACTACGCAATGTAGTTAACACCCAAACGTAGTTATCAATCCGCTCAAATTGGAGATTTGCAAAGGCTATGGAGAATGACATATCAGTGGATGTCACTCCAACTATCTCAAGAAGAGGAAGACGATATCGATTTGTCTTATATGTGCAATCCATGGTCAACACCTTTGGAAATGAACGGAGCAAATCTAAATTGACAAGATGTGCCCAAAACAAGTCTGTGACAGTCATCGTGTTGTTGTCACACCTATGCCACTTAATGTAATTATGCTTTTCTAACTCACCCAACAAATGTTGCATTTGTGATCTCCCAGCTTTCTCAATAACATTATTCCTATGACGTACATTGTAAATGGTTTTCATAGTGGTTACATTCAAAGCATCCTTTCGTTTCAATGTAACCAAAATCTCTTTCGGCCTGACCATGCTTTTGGACATATCCACTAATAATGATGTTTCCTCCTCAGATAATCTCCCTACAAATGAATGTCCTTCAAAATGTTTAGCAGGAGCATGGTTATGTATTCCACATGCTACATCTACCATCCAATCATCATCAGCCATCAACTTACGAGCCCTTAACTCAAAGAGACACCCGCATTTCTTTGTACCCGTTATCTTCACAATTTTTTTGCTCGAATCATCTCCTTCTAATTTCTTATGAGCTCTGTATTGACCACTTCTCTCACAGGCAAGAAATATCCTTGGTGTCTTATGACTACCACCATAGTCTGATGTCTTGATGACAATCACAAACCCATTTTCCCTTCCGACGTCCCGTACCCAACCAAGTAGTTCTTCTTTGCTCTTGAAAACCTACAAGTCAAATTCAACAAAGTCATTAAACATCCAAAAAGAAAAAGAAAAAAATACTAATTTTCGACATGAGACTACCTCATTAGAAATAAATTGACTCGTGTAGTCAACAAGACCTTCAGATCCAACATTATTGCATTCCATGGATGCTCCGTTCTGGAAAAAAAAAATTGTAAATGTTCGGCAGTACAGAGTCGAATTAAATGAAATTGCTCGATTTTTGTTAACCAAATATACGAATAAAGTTCGACTGTAGTATGTTGAACTAAGACATTTTGTTCGACCGTAGTATGTTGAACAAAGGCATTTTGTTCGACGGTAGTATGTTGAACAAAGACATGTTGTTCAACCGTAGTATGTTGAACAAAGGCATTTTGTTCGACCGTAATATGTTGAACAATGATATCATATCCACCTCTGGTTACCCGAACTGTACCAACTATTTACCGCTCAGCAAGTAACGAAAACGAAAACAAAAACAACAAAAAAATAACCTCTTCCTTGCTCCATTGTTGCGATTCAAAGTTGCCAGATGCATCCTTCATTGAATCTATTCAAAATCTTCAATAATACTATATTTTTAATTATTTGTTGAAGAGTTTTTGGTTTTGGTTTTAGAGTTTTTGTATTATTGACAAAGAAGATAGGTAAGGAACAAATTTGAAATTGATGATTTATATTATATTCATTCTTGTCCTTTATGGTAAATACACAAATGGTGTGTATCATAACTTGTCCTCTATAGTCATTTCACTTAAAGTTAAAATTGTAATAAAAAAAAATTAATTAATGATTTACCTTGAGAGATAAATTGGTGTGTAAATAGAGGCACCCCTGAGGTAGAGGGTACGAGACACAACCCTAATACCTAATCCTATAATTTTTTGTTTCCTCACCGTCTTCTTTTCTTGTTCTCTCTAGCCCTAACCTTGATCTCACATATTCTATAATTCAACTGGTAAGAGGATAAAACTTATCATCTCTTTCGCACAATCTCACTTTCTCCGTTTTCATTTGTTTCTCCCCTAATTCTTGAGCCTCAGTCCTCGTGAAGATCCAAGGGATTCGAGTTCGGAATCACTGAGCCCTGGATCTAGAAGAAGATAAGAGGGATTCGAGTTGTTCTTTCTAACAAACATGTATTTTCATTAATTCCTCCAACATTCAAACACACATGCACTTAATGCTTCTAATTGTGATTGTTCTTATCATTAATTTGTTTTCGTTTTTGCTAATTTTTCTTGTTGAACGACTTTCTTAAACTTTATTGCTTTCTTGAGGTGGTATTTTTGATTTGTCTGTAATAAGTTTATATTGTTTCTTTTTCTTTCCCCTTTGTTGCAATTTGACGCAATTAAATTGTTAAATTATAGCTATGGAAAATAAACTAATGTCCTTGAGTTGGGCAAAACTTCACCAAGTTTCAAAATTATTTTTGTTTACTTTCTTATCTTTCCAATAAAACTAGGGGAAATTGCAAACCAATGGAACAGTCATAAAATAATTGCACTGCAGATGTAATATTTTTTGGTGCAATTCTGACACATAGTAAAGACTTACACCAAACACATAATGAACTTGCACCATACACCTAGTAGACTTGCACCACCATGAAAATAAAATTATTTTTCCATTGTTCCATTGAAAAGCAATTTCCCCATTAAATTATCTCACATGTGGTTGATGAAGATTATTTTTAATTTGAAACGGTAAAAAAGTGGGGTACCGCATTACCAATCTAAAATGAAAATTAAGTTTTCTGCCGCCAATAGGAGAGGTGCAAAGTTCAAATCTCTACTAGGGCATGAATATCTCTAAAATTTATCCAAATGAATGAAAGATAAAAGAGAAAAAAATAATAAAAAGAAGGTGACACTAAAGTTTATTATTTTGGTTAGTTGGTTTAAGTGAGATTTTTGTTTTGTATGTGCTTCTCTTCCTTTTGTATTTCATTTTGTGCAAAAGACATATTCATGTCCAAACCTATAGCTTTTTATTCCATAGATGTGTGAACAATGTTGTTATTTGTCTTTTTTTTTATCATCATTTATCAAATTCTTATAGTATTCTTTCTACATTATTGTAGGAATGCTTCATCCTCTCAAACAAAGGAACGGAAAAATGACATCCCATTTCTTCCCGAGGACATCATTTTTCACATTCTTATTTGCCTTCCTGCTGAGTTTGAGATTTTGCATTACTGTGGGAAATTTGTGTGCAAGGCTTGGGCCAAAATTATATCTAATCCTTCTTTTATCAAGGCACACCTCCTTCAGTCAAAGGATGGCTTGTTCGTCCAAAAATTTGGTAAGCCATATCATTCATCTTTCCTTGAGTTTAATGAGGGAGAATTCAGAACAACACACCTAAATTGTCATGGACATATGGTCTCTAGTTGTTGTGGCTTATCGCTGTTTTTGGGCTCAATCCTGAGAGATTTCTTTTTGTTGGGAATCATGTGACACAAAAGTATAAGAACTTACCTTTTCGTATTGCGAAAGGTCATCTTTTGCTCTCTTGTCATATTGGTTACATTTCTCGCACTGAGGAGTACAAGGTGGTTTGCCATTGTGAAATATCAGGTGGAGAATATAGATGGTTTGTATTGTCTGTGGATAATAATAACATGTCATGGAGAAGAATGGAGACTTCACTAAAAGGAATCAGTTTTTATTGTGATGACAGAGCTTCAGTGTCTGTTGGAGGCGCTATTTATTACTCTCAAATGAACAGTCATATTTTTGCTCTTGACCTTTATGATGAAACTTCTCACACCATTAAAGTTCCAAATGAATTTGTTGGGAGTTGTTATAGTCTTCTTGAGCTGGGGAATAGTTTATCTTGCATTGTGAGACATTCGGCAGAGATTCATGTATGTGTATTAAAGGACTTACGTTGCAATGAATGGGATAAACTTTACAAGATTGGAGAAGCAATAGATGGACCAAATTTTTCATGTGAGAGTTTCATACCTGTTGGTTGGCTGGGTGATGGCCAACTCTTGGTCTTCATTCACTTTGAAAAGTTGGTTGTGTGACTTACAATGTGAAAACAGGAGAGGCAAGATCCTTCGATGTTTTCAACTCTGATTTAATACGGAAACACACCAACAGCCTTGTTTCATGGTAAATATGCATTCAAAACTATTGAGTATTTCATTTGATTATTGGCTATGAAATCATTTTTGCTTGTACTCATGAATTTTATTAGTTGAAGACTTTATTGATTGTTTATTTTCTTGTATCTGATACATGGTATCCAGCTGGGTGTTGTGTAGAATGGGTAAGTAGACACCTTTTTTTAAATTTATTTTTATATATTATTATTTGTAGAAAAAGATAAAACGTAAACAAGAGGGGATGAAGACCTATGTAAATTGTATTTCAGGAAGAAAGGATAGATAGGTAGCACAATTTGTTGCCTAAAAGGAACAGGTGGAGCTACATCTTAATGAATGGCCTCAGTTTTAATTTTTTTATAACCAAAAACCGACCCTAGTCAGGAGGCTTTGGGACCCACCTTAGAAGTACAAACCCAAGATACATGCAACCACCTGCTAACTTCACATATTGACCACTCGCTAGCCTTTCATACTGAGTGGTGTTAGTTGACTACACTCAATTTTGATTTTTTTAAAAATTAAATGTAGAAATTTATCCAAAATTTTTGGAGTTTTACAAATTGAACCTAGTAGATTTAGAGAAAAAAGAGTTACTTTTCCTATTCCACTTCATTATAAACACAATCTAAAATTTATCTTTACTGTTTAAACTTATACATGACATGATTCTTAATACATATTAGAATATAAATTCTGAGGTGTATTTATAATGTGGAAAACAACTACAGATGTTATTGTCATTGATTGTATGAGTTAACTGTAGATATTTGCTTTTGTTGAAGCAATAGTATTATAGGGAGAGGGAATGGAAGGGAGTGAATACCTGTTTTGAAAACAAAAGAAAGCAATCACTTATTTTGTTTTTGTTTTCAAATGATTCGAAAATTTTAGAATTGATTCTTGTAATATGAAAATGAAAACAACATACTAAAACACAAAACAAAAATGGAAGAGTTAACAAACAACCCCTTCTCAATGTTTGTTTTTATATGTAATTTGACTAAGCTTGAATTACTTTTGTCTACGTGATTGAAAATATATAAAATTATAATGTATTATGTGAAAGTTGATTTTGAAAGATTGTGTAAAACAAATTTTACATAATGACTTGATATTTTTTGAATGACTCTACTAAATTAAAATCCTGGCTAAGCCACTGAATAGGAACATGTTTCATCAACACCCAAAAGGTTTATGCAATATATCTGGTATGTAAGTAGGCCAACATTTCTATTGGAAAATTGTAAGTTTCCAAGTCCATAACTCTTATGTACAAAGTAACCATAGTAGTCTGGATTGAGGATGATTAGTAATATCTGATGTGTCCTCAAAAAATAAAAACTTGAAAGAAAAAGAACAAAAATGTATGATGTGTAAAAATGATGCAGTAGTGACAAGCATACTAGTAGTTAAGTTCAGAAGCATACTAGTAAATACACACATACACTGGTATTTTTGCTCTTATTTGGATCCTTAAATCTGTATGCTCTATTTGTGCAGGAATCATTTAGAAGGCAAGGACAGGAGAGGAGGAGTCTCGTCAACATAAAATGTTGGTAGAAGCTGAGCTGCAACATTTGGAGTTTGAATTCTATTTATTTGCATGAGGCCAGAGTTTATAAAAGATTATGTATACTAGCTTGGGGGTAACTTGCATTGAACCATTATCAGTGTCCAAGTTGTTTGTATAATTTTCTTGCAGTTTATTTTTTTGTTTTTGTATTTTTGCAACAGTTTGTTATAAATAAGGCTTGGAAGTTGATTAGGAAAATAGCAAGGGATGAATGAAGTTTGGGCAGGGTATTGGCCCTAACAGTTGAAGACTAACTGGTTGGTAACATTAAAGTGTCTTTGGTTTTGTGTGTGGTAGTTTACTTTTGTTTCTGTTGTGTGTTACCTAGTTCATAAAACAATTCTGTAGATTTATGGAGTTACCTTTTGCCCCGTGTATGCAATACATTGATGAACATAGCATTTGTGGGTTGTGCTTGGTTTTCTTGTGAATGTGTTTATCTGTTTGGTATGCATATTTTTTCTCTAGTTGAACATTTTAAAATTGAATACAGTTTTTACTGTCAAAGAGAGACAACATCTGGTTTTATCCTTTTTTGTCCAGATTGCACCATTATTCATAATGGTTTGCAATTGCATTATGAGAGACGGTTGCATAGGGGATCGACAGTGAGCAGTAAAAGGTTTGTTTTATTTTTGGAGCAACTATTTTCAAGTTTGAGTCACAGAAACAGTCTTTTTATAGAACTTTATTTTTGGAGTGGCTATTTTCAGGTTCACATAAACCTCTTCGGAAATCTGGGACAAGACTATTTGCATGATAGCCTCCCAAGAACCTGTTTTATTCAGAGCCTGAATTGTCCTTTCTAATAAAATGACTATTTGGTAGAGAATAATTGTGGAACCTGAGAAACAATTCATGGGGTGGAACTTAAAAATTGGGGTTTTTGGTCTTGACTTCTTGGGAATAATTCTATTCACACACTATACTTAGAGCTTGTTTGGGAATTGGCTATTTTATTTAATTTTTAATTTTTTATGAAAAAGCGTATAAAAAATAGAGAAAGTAATGTGATAATTTTGTTTGACTTTTTAACTATTTTGATCAAAAAGTCACTCACTAAACAATCTTGTTTGTTTGCGTTATTTTGATATTTATTTCTAAACAAAAAATAATTGATCGGATATCAACTACGAATAGTGTATTTATTTGTAAGTTGGTAGTTGAACAACTGATATTTGTTCAAAAATTGATGCCTAAATCACAAAATGGTGTGAATTGAGACAAGATTCTATCAATTCATAGACCACAAAAGTCCACTCAAGAGATGGAATTAGATGTCAGAATTCAAAACCATTTGAGAAACACCCATCTATGTGAAGTCCATAAATTTAGGGTCCGTTTAGTGGAAAAGGGATGGCTGTTGTGTTACCAACATTGCAGTTATTGCTATGCTTCCTATGGGATTTATTTTGAATCTTATTTCGATAATCTAAATTATGCACTTTTTAAAATATGTTAAGTAGAATATATCTATAAAAAATTAAGTTATCAGATATTGGTAGCCTTTTGTATCCAATTTTAGATATTAATGTGATTAATGAAAGGGCTATCGATCTCCAATCAATTTTTTGCAAATATATTTTACTTGATATACCTTAAAAAATGAACTGTTCGAATTATTGAAGTGGAACCCAGAATGAGCCCCATTGAGTGCACATTTAGTATGGTTTTTATCGTACAGTTTTAGGTGTTTTTAGTTTTCACAAACTAAAACAATAAAAATTTTGCAAATACTTATTAATTTCATATTATTTACACTTTGCTCCGTTTGTTTCGACGTAAAATATTTTTCTTGTAAATTGATTTTACATAGAAAAAATATTTTTCTCTTAGTTTTTTGGTGTTTGGTTGACACTTGAAACAAAAATATTTTATTGCCTAAAAGAGAAAATTTGATTCAATAAATTGTCATCTAATGACTTTTTAGTGAGACAAAATATTTATTTGAAAATGCTAAATGTATTAAAAAGACGATGAGTGAGAGTCAACTTTGTAAAAATTGACTTACGGAATTTTTATTGGTAAGTTATTTTTGAGAAATTATGCAACAATATTTTATTTAAAAAAATATCTTACTTGCTTTTTGTTCAACCAAACAATGAAAAATGAGTAAAAAATATTTATGACAAAAACATCTTTTGTCAAAACAAACAAAGCCTTCATGTAAAAATATATTGTAAAATTTAAAAAAAATCAAACGGCAAAAAATGAGTAAAATATTTTTGACAAAAATATTTTACGTCAAAACAAACGGAGTCTTCATGTAAAATTATATTGTAAAATTTTAAAAACAACTTATGTGTATACATATATATATATATATTAAATAGCTTGTTCAATAATTTTTGTATTAAAATAAAAAATTTTAAAACTAAGGTGATACAAAATAAGCCCTTGGTATATATCATCACTTATGTGTATGTGTTGGCTTATTTTTCCTACGAAGGAAAATATTATAAATGCAAGCGTGCTAGCAAAGATTGAAAAATTCTTACAAATTAAATTCAAGCCAATTATCAAGCGATTGTATTGACGGTTTTTTTGCCTCAACGAAGAGGACTTCAAAATTGCCAAGTGTAAGGAAAATAAAAATTAAAAGAAGAATGAGGGAGACAGAGAAAGATAATTAAGTGAACAATCGGGATGATTGAGTGAACAATCAAAATAATAATTACTTACCTCTACTCCTATGCTTTAAAAAGGAAGTGCATAAAATGCTTCGAAAGGGAAGTGTTGTAAATAAATGCTTCGAATATGAAGTGCATAAAATAAAATGCAAGAAATATAAATGACAAGAAAAATAAAAATCAATTGTCTTTGATTTGAGTTCTGAATCATTTACAATGTAGCCATTAATGGCTATTTATAGAGAAAAAAATATAGCAATAACTACTAAGTAACTATCCATTTCTCTCATCTTCATCCTTGTCTTGTCATGTGTACTTCCACTCATCTCCTTTGTCCTTCATGTTCTCCATCATCTCCATAACTTATTTTAACTTCTAAATGAATAAAAGGATGCCACATGTCCTGAAAATAATAATAATAACAATAATAATAATAATAATAATAATAATAATATTTTATGGTGCCAACAGTAGATAGTTATAGATGAATTACAGAATAATTTGTACTTGACTTGTTAGCTACAAAAAGATAATTTTGGAATAAAAATTTTGTGACAAAAAATGTCAACACCAACTCAGCTCTTTGCACTATAAATAGAATGGATTATTGACATAGGGACTGAAAGAGCGGAGTCCTTGAACCTAAATAGCACACAAAAATTAATTCAGAAAACTCTTATTAAATATAGATACACACAACAACACACACACAAAATAAAATAAATAAATAAATAAAAATTTGAGTTTCTTGTAGCTACATCTAACAATTAAGGATTCTCTATTTCCAATTTTTGTTTTTTTTTTGTTTTTTAAACCCTTACGGTCTATGTATGACTCATATATATCGGGTCAAGCGAGTGGATTTGAATTTGGAAGTTTTTTTACTATCAGGATTGAACCCATTCCCAATAATCTCCCCTGTTATAGAAACTTTTTGTTATGTTTTTTATTTTTGTGCAATGAGAGATTTATTGCTAATTTTTCCTATTTATTTACAGTCCGTTTGGATTGATGATGTAGGAGGAAAAGTAAAGGATTTGGAGGGTAAGGTTATTTAAATCATGCTTGAATTCTTTTGAAGGATGGAAATGGAACTGCATAGAGGGGGTTATGAGGGGAAGAGAGTACAAGTATTTTAAGGACTTTATTTTTTCTCCAAAATTGGAAGGAAACGGAAGGGAAATGAAGTACTTTTCATAACAATATATTAAAATATGTAATTAAAATATTTGTTCATAATTAAATATTGTCTAACCAAATAAGATAGAGGAGACTTTCTCTTCCTTTTCTTCTCTCACGACTAACTTTTCCTTCCCCTCCCCTCCCCTTCCCTCAATCAAAATGGAGTCTTACAATCAAAGCAAATCTTTTATCATGTGTAGCAAAAATGTGATCCCAACGAGCTTTATGGTTTAGAGAAATGAAAATTTGGTCAAAAATTCTTCACCATATTTGTATAGTGATAAAAGAACAAATAAATATTTTTCATTGCATAACTCTTTTAAAATAAATTTATCATGTATCAAGAACAACCAAATTATGCTTACCCTTTTTATTGTGAAATATATCCATGAGATTTTTTTGCAGAGTTAAATGCAAACAATGAGAAGATCATAAAATAAGCAAATAAACATGCATAACTTTCTTCCTTGAACATGATTGATGATGACTGAAACTTGGGGAAATTATATGCACCATACGTATTGTTGTGGTGTATGTTATATATTTTTGTGGCAAATGTTATGTAATTTTCTAATAGAATTATGATAATTTGTGATCTAGAAATAAAGATACCACAAATATCGTAATTCTACCTAAAAATTATATAATATTTATTATAAAAATACATAATATACATGCAACAGAATGTATATAGTACACACCTTCCTAAAACTTTATTCACTACATTTGCACTTCTTCTATTTCAGATCTAGAATTTTAATAGTTTTGTTTTATGGTGTCACCCATTTAAATGCACACATCCAATCGAAACAAATGTAGACAAGAAGAGAGTAAGGCATGGATTAAATGTTAATAATTAAAATTATAAAATTTTTCATTAATGCGCAATAACTTTTAAAAACTACACTGAATGACAATTTCACTTTCTTTTTTTCCCAGTTCATGGACACGTCAAATTCAAACAACTAATCTCATTATTTTTAGTTGTATACATATTGTATGGGGGAGAAACATTTGTCGTCATTCGTACGCATTGCCACCAAGCTCGTCTCACCTTCGAACAGACTCCAATTAACTGAGAACAAAACTACGGTGAGCTACCCGGTAGGGTGGTTTGCCGGAAAACCCCTCCGACGACCAAGTTAGCTTTCTTGGAGAAGAAGTGAGAATGCAAAGCACTGTAGAGAGAGAATTGCTAAAGATTGCTTACCACTCGGAGTTTGCTTGCGCCTTCTTATCTAGGTTGACCTTGCAACCCCAGATCGTGCGCACACTACCTTTGTTGTCCTTTGCTGAACACGTGGTTGTACTGCCCTCTCCATTCCTTACACGTGTATATACCAATACTACCTAACAAAATTGGCTAAACCGCCAAACAGTATTGACACGGGATAAGAATGGATTCGTTTCCTTTCACCATTGGTCCACATGGAGTGCTTGTACCGAGCAACCACTTGTGGCACCAAAATGCTAACTTAGAACATCCTTTTGCCAAGCTGAATCGTGTCGGTTCCCAAGTCGGTATCGCGCTCGGCTAACATCTCACCGACATTCTTTCAAACCGGTCGTTGATGGACGCATCGATCGTCACATCAGCT